ATGTAATAAGGATGATTTATGTGTTTAATCATTTTGGCCAAGATTTGCGTGATGAACAATTGTATTGTGTGCTTTTCTAGAGTTTTAATTGATGTGAACTATGCTATTTTTCTATATAATTATTATTGTGTAAAGTACCAGGCAAAGCTATGCTAAAATTAAAATTTACTAACTTTAAGGGGAATACAACAAAAGTAACGGGGCTAGGGAGTGGAAGAACCAACTTTAACGGAAATACAATCGGGGTAAATGAAATAGTAGCGGAAAGAACAAGGCCTACATATATACATATAGTGAACGACAACAAAAGCTACAAAAGATCCATCCCAAAACCTAATAGGACTAGGCATATACAAATATACAGACTCTCGGAATACAAAAGACTAGTCAAAATATACGGAAGAGATGAGTCAACTCTAAATGTTGATAATTACGCTTACCCTCATCTACGACTATCAATTGCGTTGTATGAGGATCAACGCAGTCGACTGCTTGGATCTACATCAGGAAAAAGAGATGAAGAGTGTGGTATACATGAGTACCAAAATAACGGGTACCCAGTAGTAGGCCGATTGAGATCGATATTGTAAAACATAATAAAATGCGAGTAAGTAAATCGGTAAGTAAGTTAACTATAAGGGAATAATAATCGTAAGATAAGCCATTAGTCGCATAGGAAAAATCTTAGATTGAATCTAAGTAATCTAGATTTGTATAGACCCCATAAGCCTAGAAGGTGCATACAAAAGACAGATAGAGGAAATTAATAATATGACCAGACCCCCATAAGCCTGACGAATACATACAAGAGCTTATATTAGGAAGAACAGTACCAAGAACATCTAAGAACATCAACAATAAACTCAAGCAAAGACTAATTGAAATCTGACATTGGTATAGTCGCGAAGGAGGCAAAACTCATCCTGTAATCTTACATCAGAATGGCAACAATGAAGACTAGCCTATTCCGGAATCTTACATCAGAATATCCACACAAACCTAGCTCCTTCAGGAATTTTACATCAAAAATATGTCTAATCTTTTTAAGAATCTTACATAAAAAAAGCCACAACCAGACTAAGCATCTCTCAGAATCTTACATTGGAACAACTAGTCAATTCTGGAATCTTACATATCGGAATAAACATTGAGAACCTACATTCTCCCCAAATTCTACATCGAAATAGCTAGTCCCTTCTAGAATCTTACATCTGAAGACCACCACACAAGAGACGATCTTCCCCTATTCACAATACCTTAACTACCCTTAGCTCTACTATCCGGAAAGCTCTTCTCAATTCTTCAGAGTTTACTGCAATAGTAACATCGTCAAGTTAGATACTTTCTTTTTCATACAGAAATGTATCGGCGAAGGTTATGTAAGAATGTGGTAAAAGAATATAACACAGTTAAGCCATGATCCTCACTATCAATTTTAATATCCACATTAATTCTTCATGTCCATTATAATTCAATTATACTCATCAAAGGTGAGTTTTAACCGATACACCTTCATTCACAAATCTTCTAACTTTTTTCATGATGTTAGTCAATATTTGTGGAGATATAGAATTGATCAATTAGTAGAAGACTTTAATTATCACTCAATAATGGTTCTTTGATCAATTCAAATTCCTTACAATTAAATAAATGCAAATTCTGCTGGACTAATTCTTTGTACTTGATGTGTCCTTTTAATTATCCATCTAAATTAAATAAGCAAACATCCAACGTAACCTTGAACAAATCAAATGGAATTAAGTTGACAATATGAGTTTCCCACACTATAAATACAACTATTTCAATTGTTTGTTTCCTCACCAAAAAATCCACACAAAATAAGAGCTATGGCAAAATACACTACTTTTCTCGCCCTTCTCTTTTGCCTCTTCCTTGTTGCTGCAACTGGTGAGTCAACATGATACTATAGATATCAAATATAATGATTTGTTTAAGATTACAAAAAAAATTAAATATTTTTTTCTTATTAAATTTTGTGACCAGTCAAAACATGATTATATATAGCTACCAAATATAATGATTTGTTTAAAATTACAAAATTTTAAAATATTAGTTTTTTTTAGGATATAAAATTTGTTTAGAAATTATGATAAATTTGCTATCTCAAGTACATACCATGGTTTTTCAATTTTCTCATTTTTGCAGAAATACAAATGGCAGAAGGGAAATACTGTTGGAAAAAGAGTGACAAGTGGAATGGACCTTGCCAATACTCTTACAAATGTAGTTATCATTGCAAGCACTACTATGGAGCTAAATATGGTATATGTAAGAAGTACAAACCATGGGGTCACAAATATTACTGGGCAAAATATGCTTGCTACTGCTACTCACCTTGCCACTACTAAGAATATTTCAGTGTCTCATGGCTTGGCTTTGACTATGTAAACAAATAATTAAGAAGCTACCTATTTTATGTATGTAACAATGTAATAAGGCTGATTTATGTATGCAACTATTTTGGCCAAGCTTTGCGTAATGAATAAATGTATTG